ATCGAAAAGCTGTCGCACAAATTCGACAGTGGATCGATCATAGTGTTTTCCACTATGTTGCTCAAGAACATAGTGCTTACACACTATGGGAGAAGCTTGGTAGCATGTATCAAGCAAAAACCGCCCGAAATAAGACGTTACTAATGAGGCGATTAGTAAACCATAAATTACAAGGTGGTATTTCGGTGTCAGAACACACCAGTCAATTCCATGATCTCGTGAATCTGTTGAGCACCACCAGATGGGTTCTCAAAGATGAAGAGCGGGCGATACTACTCTTGAGCTCTCTACCTGACAACTGGGAGACTCTTGTTGTCACTCTCAGTAATTCTGCTCCTAATGGAAAGGTGACTATGCAGATGGTCACAGATGCCCTAATGAATGAAGAAGTCCGAAGGAAGGAAGCCGGGACAGAACAATCATATGCCCTCATATAAAAAACTAACAGACGAGGAGGAGACAAAAATGGAAGAAGAAGTCGAGGTCGAGGTAGAGGCCAAGGTCAAAATAGAGGAAATTCTCAAGTTCGCGGCAGATCACAAGAGAGAGGTATGTCCTTTGAAAACAATACTTGGTTTGAAGGATGTTGCAATTACTGTGGTAATTATGGCATAGAAAAAGAGATTGTAGCTATAAAGTTTCTACGAGAGCAGCCACAGACGAGTCAAAATACTAGGCAAGAAGATGGTGCGACCATGGTTAGTTTGTCATCAGATGTATTCCTTGTTACACATGGTGAACATGAATGTTTACATGTAGGTTCTCATGATGTTGAGTGGGTGGTTGATACAGTCGCATCATTTCACACTACTCCACACCAAAACTTATTCACATCTTATAAGTTCGGAGACTTTGGAGCTGTGAAGATGGGAAACACCAGTTTCTCGAAGATTGTTAGCATTGGTGATGTGCACATAACAACCAATGTCAGATGCACACTTGTGTTGAAAGATGTTCGATACGTTACGAATCTTGGATTGAATCTTATCTCCGGGGCAGCTCTAGATCATCAAGGTTATCGTAACCATTTCAAAGAAGGTACGTGGAAGTTATCTAAAGGTTCCTTGATTGTTGCAAGAGGCCATATTTGTGGTACTCTTTATAAAACTAATGTAAAGTTGTGTCATCCAAGTCTCAATTCTGTTGAAGAAGAGACATCACCAAATTTGTGGCACCAGAGTTTAGGCCACTTGAGCGTGAAGGGACTGACAACTCTTGCAAAGAAGGAAGTCATTTTCATGGGCAAAGGTATTGCCGTAGATCCACGCGAGCACTGTTTATTTGGGAAATAACACAGTTTGTTTCAGTTCTACCAGGAAGAACCATTCAGAGTTACTCAGTCTTGTCCACCCTCATATATGTGGAACCATTGAAGAGGAGTCACTTGGAGGAAGCAAATATTTCGTGACTTTCATTGATGATGCATCACGAAAGGTATGGGCTTATTGTCTAAAGAGTAAGGATCAAGTGTTTGATCGCTTCAAATTATTTCATGGCATGGTAGAAAGAGAAACAAGGAAGAAGCTGAAGTGTCTACGTACAGACAATGAGGGAGAGGACACTTCCCGGGAGTTCTCAGCATATTGTGTCACATATGGAATTAGACATGAGAAGACGGTTCCACGAACTCCACAACACAATGGTGTAACCGAAAGAATGAACTGGACCATTTTGGAGAAAGTTCGTTGCATGTTGAGTATGGCTAAACTACCTAAGCCATTCTGGGGTGAAGCTGTGCTGACAACTTGTTATCTTATAAACAGGTCACCTGCTGTTCCTTTAAACTTAGAAGTGTCAGAGAAGAAATGGTCAGGAAGAGATGTTTTTTTACTCTCACTTGAAAGTGTTCGGGTGCAAGGCATTTGCACATGTGTCCAAGGAGTTGAGACAGAAGCTTGATCTCAAGTCAAACCCATGCATCTCACCTGATCCGCTCCATATATATGTATATATATATATATATATATATATATATATATATATATATATATATATATATATATATATATCTAGGTTTGGTTCAAATAAGAACATGATCTTATGAGAGAAATGAGAACAAATCTGTACCGTTATATTTGCTTCAAGTGAAATTCAATGTGCATTAGTTGAAAATGTAATGTGCATTAGGTGAAATTGAAATGTGCATTAGTTGAAAATGTAATGTGCATTAGGTGAAATTGAAATGTGCAATACAAAGCGTGTGATACAATGTCATTAAGTGAAGCTGAATTGTGCATTAGGTGAAATTGAAATGTACACTAGGCGAAACTGAAATGCGCAGAATAAAAGATACGATGTGATGTTATTTTTGTACATTTTATTCCGCACATTTCAGTTTCACCTAATGCACAATTGAGTTTAAATTTTTATTCTACGCATTTCAGTATCATGTAATACACATTTCAGTTTCATCAAATGCACATTTCCGTTCCACATAATACAATCCAACGGTCCAGATTCGTTCTTATTTCTCTCGTGGGACTCCGTTCTTACCGGAACCGCTCCATATATATATATATATATATATATATATATATATATATATATATATATATATATATATATATAGGGAGAGAGAGAGAGAGAGAGAGTCATTTTCCTGTCCAGCAGGTTTTGGTCCGAACGCCGCCCGAACACCGTTGTTCGGGGCGGTTTCCGGTGGAATACTTTGCTGAAATTTTTATGGTACATTCTTCATCAAGTCTAGTTTATACATACCAAATTTCAGATCAAAATTCGATCCGGAGGGCCTTCAAAATGATTTTGTGAAGTTGACTGCGCCAAATTATACATAGAAAAACGCAGTCAACTTCAAAAATCATTTCAAGGCATTCCCGATCGAATTTTGAGCTGAAATTTGGTATGGATAAACTAGACTCGATGAATATCATACCATAAAAATTTCATAAAAAATATTCCACCGGGAACCTCCTGAACGGAGGTGTTCGGACGGAATTTTTTGATGAAATCTTTTGAGCATCTTCTTCATTAAGTCTAGTTTACCCATACCAAATTTCAGATAAAAATTTCAGATGATTTTCTGAAATGTATTGCGCTATTTAACTGCGCAATTATCTTCAGAAATTCATTTGATTGCCTTCCTGATTGAGTATTTAGTTGAAATTTGGTATGAGTAAACTAGACTTAATGAATAAAATGCTCAAAAATCAACAAATTCCACCGGGAACCGCCCCAAATGGAGACGACCGGACAGAACCTCCTATATAAGAGGTGATTTGCACTTTTTAAGTTAGTTCGATGGTCTATTTGACCCTTTAGCCTTTCACCTTTTAGTTTTTGTAGACCCGTATTACTTTGTGAATGTTAAAATTGTAAAACAATAAGTTTATTATTTATCTGCTCCTTGAGGGAGCATAAGCTGATATTGTAGTATTTGGGTGAAAGTGTAGAAGTACTTCTGAGTGTTTCAAATTACTCGATCTTAAAAGCAGTTTTTTAGAAGTTGGGGGGAACCAGGTTCTGAAAAACCGATTCTGATTCTGCTTCTCCTTTTAAAATAGTAGTTGAGGCATAATCAATTTTAAACATGTAACACCCCCACCTCATGGGACCTCAGGTAGTTACTCCTGACCTCTAGTACTATCCTCACAAACCACCACAAGCCTTTATTGCGCACTTTGTCATCACTCGTGCACGCCCTGAGAAACTTCTCAGGGGATCACCTATCCCAAGACTAGTCCCGTGCAAGCACGCTTAATTTTAGAGTTCTTGGGTGATGAGCTCCCTTAAAAGAAGATGCACTTCTATTGGTATGAGTAGTACTTAAAAGTGTTACAAAACGCCCATGAATCCCATTCAATGTAATACTATGTATGTGTGTTGTACAATTATTGATCAATAATTCCCATGTATTAGTCCCATTAGGCCCTCTATTAAACTATCAAATAAGCCCTCGTACTATATCGAAATAGTCGATTAGGCCCTCGTACTTTACAAACACTCAATTAAGTCCTCGAACTATTAAAAAACGTTCAATTAAGCCCTTTCGATCGGTAAGTAACCGGTTTCCCGGTTAAATGTAACCCGTTTCCCAGTAGCCGCCGTTGCTGGGGTTCGAGCACATCGTCGTTGTCGTCGCCGTTTAACCGGGAAACCGGTTTCTTACCGACCAAAAGGGCCTAATTGAACGTTTTTTAATAGTTCGAGGACTTAATTGAGTGTTTGTAAAGTAAGAGGGCCTAATCGACTTTTTTGGCATAGTACGAGGGCTTATTTGATAGTTTTCCCTATGTAATATTGATGTTGTACTTTACCATTAGTCTCATTCACTTTTATTAGTCCATTATTTAAATAATTTTGTGTTGTATTATTTATGAGATTTATAAGGAGACTCTTGCGTAATTATGTGGTCTTCTAAACATTCATTAATTTTGGCAATTAAATCTTAATATAACTTTAGTTTTTGGATTGTATTGTTTCTCAAAATTATGTCCAATATTAAGTGTATAGTCTAAATTAATTAAATTAGTTACATGTCTTAATAGTAGTGCAAATAGAATTTGTGAGTGATAAATTATTGATTTATAACTCAATTTTACTACATAAAAAATTGATAATTGTGTAACTTATTTATTAATGTTGTTAGGGTTACTCCTTAAAATTTTCTCACTTACCTTTTTGGAACGTCTCAAAAAACAATTCTCATTTTCTTTTTTGAAAAGATTTGTATGACTATCATTCATTCATTTATTTTTTTACTCAATCAAAAGTCCATAACCATACATTTCCACTTTATTATCACTTTCTTAAACCCCAATCCAAGAAAAAAAATTGCGGGACACAAGGAGTACATTTTTTGAATATTGCTTTAAAAGTGTAATAATTGAGGCTAAGTAATAATCGTATATTGTATCAATTTAAATTGACATAGACAATATTTATCCTTGGCTTTACTGGATCATTAGCAAAATTGATGTGTATATATGAATTCTTTGACCCAGCCTAAAAATTCTTATGATGGGCCTTATTGATCCGGTCTCTTTGGGGCCCGAATGTTTACCCCTGCACCGCAAAATCCAGAACGAAGAACAAGGAGACAACGTTTTTATCGCCGTCGAAGTTTCTCCCGACACTGTAGCTATCAGCTAGGGAGAGTCAGCAAATGGCTACATACATGATGAGTATGGGAGAAGCACACAGGCGAATCGCAGAGTACCTGAGCCGCTTCCACGACGCCGTTTCGTCTCAAGATGGCACATCTCTGAGCACACTCTTCTTCATCTCCTCCAACTCTTCCCTCATCCTCCCTCTATCCGACGCTCTCAAAACATTCCAGGCGTGTTCATCTGACGTTGTCATTATATATGCATCCTTACACTCATCAACATGCATATGTTTATTCTTTCTCTTTTTATACATCCGAATCTCAATGATCTGTGTTTATTCATCTATACAATTCTGGTCGAATACTTCCTTAGACTGGACTATGCAATGATTTTTTGTACTTTTACATATTTTTTTCGGCCATGGAATCTCTTTATTGGGTTTAAATACAGTTGTTGTTGTTGTAAAATGTAATAAGGTGTTTTATTGAGACCTTTTCAAATTGAATTTGTTGTTACAATATGATCACCTTTCAAGAAACTTAAGTAATACTTCCTTTTTAGTTGAAGAAGTGATGCCGCACTGCTGCAGTGCATGTCTTATCCCTTTTCGAAAAAATGGCCTCCCAAGTCCCAACCCTTGTTTGATTTTTTAAGAGCCAAGAGGAAAATGAAAGAGCTAACAAAACAAAGCACTATGTTTATTGATGGAGTGAGGAGAAAATATTGCAAAAGTCTGTAAAAAGATATACGTAGTACTTGATAGATTTGTGTATTAAAGATAATAACATAGACCAGTTTTTTTATTGAAAGAGGTAGTAAGAATATTGAAATACAAGTCCTACGAAATCCCCCAATCGAGGGAGTGAGATATAAGGAATGTGGACGAGTTCGTGACTCCTTCACTCTCCGTTCCCAACTCCCCCAACGAATCACACATTACTCCAGTTTCCTCCCCTTCCTTTCAGAGTCCTCCAACCTGACAAGAGCATATAGTCTTATAGTGTATTAACAACTTATTTGGTCGTTTACGTTTTCAAGCCAAACTTGTTTGCTTTAGAATAGACCATTTATTCATATGAGTGCAAGTGATCAAACAGTTCTGCTGTGTGGATGTAACAGGATCCTAATCGAGTGATCAGACAATCTGAGTGTTCTCACTATGCAGACATACTGCTTCCATTATTCCGTGCTTTCCAGAGCTATAAACTCAAGAACTTGGCTGAGGCCTACCAGGCTTTTGAAAAGGCTGCCAAGTATGTGAAGCTTGTTATCTGATTTCACCATGTGCATGTCTTTAGTTTTTATGGTTATATGATATTATTATGGCATACAGTTCTTTCGTTCAAGAGTTCCGCAACTGGGAATCAGCTTGGGCTCTGGAAGCACTTTATGTCATTGCATATGAAATCAGAGTTCTTGCTGAAAGGGTAAAAACTATGTTTGGTTCACTTATTTCTTTCTTTTTTTAGTGTTTCTGCATTTACAGATACATGTTTGTAGGCCGACAGAGAGTTGGCCTCCATGGGAAAAAACCCTGAAAAATTGAAAGCAGCGGGGTCCTTCCTTATGAAAGTATTTGGGGCACTCGCTAGTAAAGGCCCCAAACGTGTAGGAGCATTATACGTGACATGCCAACTTTTTAAAATTTATTTCAAGCTTGGAACTGTCCACTTGTGTAAAAGTGTGACAAGAAGTATTGAAACTGCCCGGATTTTCGACTTTGAGGAATTCCCTCTCAGGGATAAAGTCACTTACATGTACTACACTGGTCGTTTGGAGGTCTACAATGAAAACTTTACCGCTGCTGATCAAAAGTTGTCATATGCCTTGGCACACTGTAATCCTCAAAAAGAGGGAAATGTGAGGTCTGTTTAAGGTCTTCTTTTCAAATATAGCCTATATGCGCTAAGGTGGATGGATGCTCTAAGGTGAATCTATGAATGATCTTGTATTGCTGTTATTGACACTTTGATAGGATGATACTCAAATATCTGATACCTGTGAAGCTTTCAATAGGAATCTTGCCTAAAAGTTTCCTCCTTGTGAAGTATGATCTAAATGAGGTACTTGGTTCTTGTTTGTAGATGGTTTACCTTGTGCAATTCGATGCTGGGCGACATAAAATTCTCTATTGTAATGCATTTATATTTTTCATTGTTATTATTTATTTCAATTCTACAGTACAGTAACATAGTGCTTGCTCTTACAAGAGGTGATCTCCGACTTCTTCGATCCGCTCTACATGAACATGAAGATCAGTATGTTTATTTTGTCATGTTTTACCTGCAGTTGATCTTCTTTTAATCCTATGATAATGCTGAATTGTGCTTAAGTAGTAATATATCCTGCCCTATTATTAGGTTCTTGAGGTCAGGTGTTTACCTGGTCCTAGAGAAGCTAGAGCTTCAAGTTTATCAGAGGTTACTAAAGAAGATGTAAGCTCAAATGTAGGAATTGCCCTTTGCCCCTATTTTACCAATAATGGAATTTCACTAGTGAAACTATCTTAAACATTTTGGCAGATACATCATGCAAAAGCTGAAGGATCCAAATAAAGCTCATCAAATTAAGCTGGATTTAATTGTAAAAGCCCTGAAGTGGCTTGAGATGGATATGGATGTTGATGAGGTATTTTTCATTTTCCGTTTTGTTTCTATTTTTTTAAGATTTATGTTTTCAGTTTAATTGTCATGGCTGGGTTTTTAAGCAAACTCGTGTGTTTCTCACACATACAGGTTGAATGCATAATGTCTATCTTAATTTATAAAAATCTTATGAAAGGCTATTTTGCCCACAAGAGCAAAGTAGTGGTTTTAAGCAAGCAAGATCCATTCCCCAAATGGACAGGCAAACCAGGAAATTTGTAGAGAAGATAATGTGGTTGCTCTATACAAGCAATGGTGTTGTACCCTTCAGAGCCCTTCCTGAAAAGGCCATCCTGTCATTAAGTTAAAGAAATTGAACTTAATTGTAAGCATAAGGTGTTTATTTTCTTTCTTCCATAATCACTTTGCCCCACCATAAATCAAAGTCCAAAAAATTCTCACATGTGGATCTAAAATTGATGGATTGGCTTGGATGTTGTTGATGTTGTTGAAACATTGATGGAGATAATGTAACATTGACCAGACGGTCAACACAAGAATCGATTGGTTGGTGGTCAAACGGTCTACTCCGGGAACTGAAAGGTCTTTATTCAGTCAGAAATGGAATAGTCACAACATGAACCAGATGATCGTCATTAATGGAGAATATTATAAGTGTCATCATCCTCAGGTGGTCACAAGGTTGAAACACTCATCCCAGTCAATGATGTTGGTATTTAATTAGGATGCTTTTAATTGGAATAAATTTTATGATCTGGTCTGGTAGATGCTTGTTTTATGTGTATTTTACGACTCCGGAAGTGTGGTCTGTTCTAGACTGGTTTTTTTAATTTTCATCTGGTTTGAGAGTAAAACTAGTCCAATAAAAAAACATACTTAATTGTCACTCACTATATCTTGCCACGTCATTCAAGGGTTTATGTTGGGACGTTGGGTCAATCATGAGTAAAAATTAGCAAATGTATTGTAAACTAGAGTGAATTCTTCAAATAAGAGTAAACTGTAAAAGATAGATCAAACGCAAATATAGGAACTATTGTTTTGAACTACTTAAATAGGAATAATTATGCTAGCCTAATGCGAGCATGTTGCCACCAGCTGTTGCCACTGTCATCACCGGTCACTAGAAGTCTGCCGCTGCCGGTGAAAATCGCCAAATTCGCCACTTGCTCGTAACCGGTCTTTGTTGCTATTGGTGGTTGCCGCCCTACCATCGGATTGCCTTGTCACCATAGTTGTTATGGCGTCGCTGCATCGTCGCCTTATCGTCGTCTTGGCGTCGCGGCGCTCTGGGCAGGTCGCCATGGAGCCTCGACACGCCATAAGTCAACGGGCGTGACTCAAATTCAATATTTACGAACAGGCCCAAGCCCAAACCCGGACCCAAACCCAGTAATTTGTTAAGTGATTAGCGATAACCCATCAAGGCTCGAACATCTCCCGCTAGGTATTTCTGTAGGCTCGAAGGCTAGAACATCTTCTTCGGTCAGACTGTAGCCCATAGGTCGTCGCATTTTTGGGATAGACTATTTGTTTTATTTGCTTAGGATTTTGCAAATAGGCATCAGTTCAGTTTTGCTTCAGTTACTTCAGTACTTATTTTATTTTGCTTCAGTATTTGCTTTACATTTGTTTTAGTTACTTAGTATTTATTTTGCTTTAGTTTTGGAATAGTCGTTGGTTTACTATAGACCATATATGCTTTAGACTTTACTTGTGTTTGTGCTCCAGAAGTATCCTTTACTATGTACTGTCTATGTGTTGTATTTCTTTTTTTGTTGCTCCAGTCGCCTGTATTAATCAATTGCTTTATATTATTTCTATTTAATATTTTAATGTTTTGTATTTCTTTATTTCATTGCATTTTAATGTTTTAGTGTTGAACTGTGCAATGTTGTAGTGTTGTACAAAAACATTTTGAAAAGATTGTATTGTTACTATTTTAAGAAAAGTTTCAATTGTTTCAATTTTCTGGAGAAAAAAATCAGTTTTCCCCATATAATAGTGAAATTTCAGTTGTTTTTTATATGTTATATTTAATAATTTTATTGGGGTGTTGAAGTATTTTAGTGAGATATTTGACAATTTCATTGGTGATGTTTAAGTATTTTTATGTTCGATTATGTTATTTCTAATTTCTAGTTTTTGGATTATGGATAATGCTTGTGATTGTTTTGATGAACTATATACTTAGGGAAAATTCCCGAAATAGGAGTAAAAAAGTTTGAAAATTCCAAAATAGGATTGCCATTTTTTTTCCCAAACTAAGAGTAATTACTGCCAAGTTTGGAAAATACTGTCATGTTTAAAGTCTGATACTGCCAAAACATGACAGTAATAAGTTTTATTTTGGGAATAAAAACATGATAGTCCTATTTTGGAATATATACACGTTTTAGTCCTATTTTGGGTAATTTCTCATATACTTATGATTATGGTCTTATGAATTATGTTGTTTCTATGATTACATGCTTTACTACTTCATTAATATTGTTGGCTATAAGTGTCCCATGTAGGCATTTTAGTATGTAAAACACATTATGAATTTATTAGTGTATGTATGTCGATTTATCGCCGCCACGACGGGCGCCATATCCCCATGGTGGTATGGCAGTCCGAAGGCGCCGCGCCACGAAACCCTGTCGTAACAACTATGCTTGTCACTAATGGACTGGTCTGGTTATACAAGGAAACTAGGAAGCAATTAATTCTTTTAATTAAATACATTAGGGGTAGAAAGGTAATTTTTAATCCTATTTAGGGAATAAAAAATGTTGGGTCATGTTTGTGAATTTATATTTAGGTTTAGTCCTATTTAGGACAATTTTATGTATATCATATTATTTTTATCACATGATTGTGAGAAATTGTAAATAAAATTCATCAAATATTAAATGTTAAGTAAGCGTGTATTCTTTACATTTTTTTAAAGACCTTGTAGACAAATATTTTTCAAGTCGTGTCCTTTGTTAAGATATATTATTAGTGTTGAGGTTTATTCCTTTCGGTACAAGGGCCCAATAGCTTCCCTTGGGCTTTTGTAGTGTGTTGATGGATCGTAAATATGTTTAGTGGATTGGTTAATTGATTTTTAGGCATAAGCATAGCAAGAAAGAGTAGAAAGGTAAGTGGGCCAAGTTCTATTAAAAACTAGGAACAATTACATTGCACTCTTCCGACCCGAGCGTCGAACCTCTATTCTAAGCTAGGAGTACAAAAGAAGTAGAGAGAAGGACTTAAGATATTGAATACAAGTTGACAATCTTTAACGATGAAAATAAATACTTCTATTTATACTACATGGGGTAGTTGGTGGTAATGACGTGGCAAAACCCTGAGTGGCTAGCCTCAAACCATAAAATCTTTCATATGTGGTACATTAGATGTGCTTCCAACCAAAATCATTGCTTTCCCGCCAATTATTCTGAGGCAGCAAGTTGAGAGCCCTCCAACTACACGATTTATTCAAGGATCATGTGTTGTGTGGCACATGCCACTCGGGTGGAGCTGCACGGCGATGGGGCCTTAAAAGATTTCTCGACTCACTTAATGTAGGGATGTTAGGCCTATCCCGTGCTGGGGCAACTACCCCAACACAAGTCCCTCACTTTTGATGTTACGAGCATTGGTGGGACATAAGGAAGTAGAGAAGAAAAAACAACCCTTTTATGTGTCCACTGTGTGGAAGTCATGAGGACTCAGTGGACCATTTATTCTTTCAATGCAGTTGTATACAGCTTATTTGGTACTATTATATGGGGATTTTTGGATTGAAGACTCCTCAATCCTCATATAACTTGTTCAATACGCCAGGTCCTATTTTTTTTGAAGGATTAAAGCAGGTAGGAGAAAGATGGAGGACATCTTTAAACATAATCTTCCAGGCATAATTTGTTGGAACATTTGGAAGGTTTATTCTAATATTATTTGGGGTAATGGAGAGACCATTAGTTCTCTGTTGATATTGATCCAATAGATTAAATATTATACACAACAATGGTCTCATACCCTTTCCAAAATTAAGCTTTGTTCTATAGATCCAGTGTTTTTTTGAAGAAAATATCATTCCCAAAAACTTTTGGTTCTCTCATGGGATTTTCAAGATGGTCAAATGGTATAAACTCAAAGGAAATTTAAACCTCAACACAAATGCATCGTGCATACTTGGGAAGGTCAGGGGTGGTGCGATTATGCGAAAGCAGTTTGGTGAGATTGTCTTTTCGATGGATGCTTCGTCGTCCTTGGAGGCAGAGTTGAGAGCTATCCTCTATGCGATCATATGGGCGACTACTGATTTGATGGTAGATATGATCATATGAAGTGTCTATTGGATTCAGATGCAAGAAGGTGGAAGAACATTATTCAAGAAATCAGGCTGCTTGTAGCTAAGAAAAATTATCCTTTACTCATATCATGCGTGAAAGGAATGAAGTGGCCCATTATCTAGCTCTTGAAAATGCGACCCAAATTTTCATTACGCCTATGGATCTTCATGAGATGGCCAAAAGGGCCTATTATTTGGACCTATTTGGTATTCCCTCTTGTAGGATACTTAATTAGAATTTTCTCTCATGTACTAATTAAGTCAGGCCTAGCACCCCCCCCCCCCCCCAAATTATGTTTTATTTTAACATAGGGATGAACCCGGTCCGGTTCTGGACTGGGCCCGGGCGGGCTTTTTTTTCAAAATGTTGGGCCCGGAACCGGCCCGGGTTGATACCGGGTCCGAGCCTAATCGGGCCGGGCCGGGCCGGGCCCGGGTCAAGTTCAATTTTTTTTTGGGTTTCTAATTAACACCTGACCCCCCCCCCCCCCCCCCCCTTCACCCTCACCCCCAAACCCCCCCAAAACACCCAACCCCAACCTAGAAAAGCAAAAAAAATTGAAAAAAAAAAAAAAATTGAACCGGGCCCGGCCCGCCCAAATGGGCTAAAAGTCCGGAACCGGCCAACCGGTCCCGGTCCGGTCCATGCCGAAACAGTAACAGGCCGGGGCGGTTCCGGGTCGGGCCGGACCGGTTTAGTCCATCCCTATTTTGATATCCATTTACTTATGTATTTATCGAAGGTATGTCTTCAGAGAGGTTTTGGTGTAATCCCCCTATCATTTGTACTTACATTTCTTATTAATAAAACACAGAAAATGTTCCCCGGCATTCGCCCCACCAAAGGGTGGTTTGCCTACTGGGTTAAGAGAGAGAGAGAGAGCAGTAAAGACAACCCTGAGCCGCATGGCCCTGTCACTCCCGAGTAAAAGCTGTCTTTGCTGTTCTCGAGGATCTAAAACGACGATTAAGGTGGCTGGTTCAAACCCCGAGAGTTTCATGATGATTACCTGACTCTCTGCCTTCGCGCGACACAAGTCTTGGGGTAAGCTTCTCATTACGTGTCAGTCGGTGATTCAACCTTGCTTCGACAGCCTCTCCTATAAATACCTCCTCAAGATTCTAGATCAGTGTTTTCGAAATCGCCCGTCTTCTCTCTAGAAAGCTCTCGCTTCTGTCTACGTTGGAAGTTCATTGTCATCTCTTTCTCCGGAAAGAAACGGGTATACCCCTTTCTTTAAATTATATCTTCTCCGTTGCCGTTCTCTCTAGACCACGAAATAGACCCTAGAGCCTCAGGGGATCCCGGAAGCACGTATGCTGCTGGTGCTAACGATACGGTCCGCGAGGACCCTGCTGATGCTGCCCCGTGGGATAAAGTGTGTCTAGCCCCACTTGATGGTGCGGGCGATTTTGGTGACACCATGATTATCTATAAGGCCGTCCCTCTTGATGACTTGCCGCGACATGAAGTTCTTCTGGACAACGCCTGAGGGTGTGAGTATTTTATCTCCGGATTTGTTTGGTAGGTGAGTTGATTTATAGATCGGGTTTTTACCATATACT